TTCCTCTCCCTCTCCCTCCCCCTCTCTCTCTCACTCCCTCCTTCTCTCTCCTCCCTCTCTCTCTCCCTCCCTCCTCTCTCTCACTTCAACATTCTCCAGCTGAAGGTGTGACAACCGAAAGAATGAGTAGTCCTCAATGGAGATCAGTTCAATCCTATACCTGCCGAACATCACCTCCGGCTCATCCTGACCCTGAGGCCAATAAGGATAGCACTTGTTCTGTGAGGAAATAAAGACAAACTTAATACATGAATATTAACATGTACATTTATGCATCAAATATATGTTACAAAACAACTGGTTTTTGCTTTAAAATAGGCAAGCAGAATCAGCATTCTTTTTGTGAATGACACATAACTTTATACAGACTAGCCTCTTTATAATGGACACTTTGGGTCAAGAAAGTGTCTCTGTTATACAGAGGTGTCCTTTATGTGGAGGTTATTTTATACAGTAAGGAATGTAATTGGTACACTAGGTGCTGTCCGTTAAATGGAGGTGTACGCTATAGAGAGTGTCCATTAAGAGAGACTATACTGTACATGTAGGAGGGTATCATGTATACAATCTAATTGTTGTATAAATGTAAATATATAATAGGTTCCCATAAAGGAATTTGACCATATTACATGTACATTACATCAAGTTTGGCTTCAAATTTACAAAACAACTGGTTTCTGCATTTTGCATTAACATAGGCAGGCGGAACTAACACACATGCACATGTACATGTAATCTTTTTGTGAATTTTAAACGATGAAATCGATCTAAACTAAAGACATAATATATAACAATGTACATCATATTGAGGACTATTAGAACCAATTCTATGCCAATATCACATACACTAGTACATGTACACTCTCCTACCATTCCTCTCTCAATGCATTTATTAAGCATCAGTATTCCTTTGCAGTTCTGTTCCCAGACCATCTGCCAGAAATGATCACAAGTGTGCGGTAATGGACCCTGGGTTAGGATATAGGACCTCTTCACCTCTTCAACCTGGGGGGAACGAGGGAGGGGGAGGGAGGGAGGGGGGAGGTAGGGGAGGGAGGGAGGAAGGAAGAGAGGGAGCGAGGGAAGAGAGAGGGAGAGAGAGGGGGGAGAGAGGGGGGAGGGGAGGGGAGGGAGGGAGAGA